CTAAATTCGTTTGAGGCCAAAAATCAAAGGTATGCTTAAATACTTTCTAAGTCCCAAGAATTTCAGCAATATGAAATTGGCAGAAGCCTTAGTTTTGCATTGAAAAATAATAAAGTATGAGATACAGAGTTGAATATCAGGGAAATTGTTCAGTTTCAACAACATCAAATGAGTTTTACATTCACTAGTCAGAATGCATTTCCAAGGTTTTTGTGAATTCAGTTCCTAGGGGCAAAATTTTCTGAATAGACAGATACTATTACGGCCCATCTTTCCTGACTGTAGTATGTGAATATATTTATGAAAAAGTTACAAATTGGATAAATTACAATAAGGTTGAAATCTGTACACTTTCATAAAGGCAAACTTTTTAGGGCATCATGCACATACCATTATCCATTTCAACTCTGTTTTGAAATAGAGATAACATATTACTTTGTTTTAATAGACGGTTCTTGCCTATTGTTTCTTGAGTTATGATTTGCAAAGATGTCCTTATAATCCATAGAAGGCCTAGCGCCCTTCAGTTAAAAATATTAATCATACTGCTGATTTTCAGTTTTCAACAGAATTTTATCAGATCCAAAGATCTGGCTGCACTTTTACAGTCGGGTACTTATATTTATTAGGGCAGTGCAGCACTTCAGGTTTGATTCTAAAAAGTGAGTCCATTTTGACTTTTATCTCAGATGATTGAAGAGGCGATGAAATGGAGCCCTGGTGATTTTATTACTGGGAGGGGGGAGAGATACAAAAGCCCAGCAGAAACAGGGAATTATGATTATTTTTGCCAGGTTTTGAACACATTCTGTGTGTGGGGCAAAAGTTATAACAGCTGTGCTAGTGAAGCATCATTGCTAACAGTATTTGCAGCAAAAATTAGATTGCAACAGGGTGGCTATCATTGACAGAGGTGAAGAGACATACTTACTTAAATGTAGCAGCCAATCAAAATGCAAGGGTTTGTCCAGAAATAAAGAAAAGCTGAATAATAGCAACTTGAACCAGCACAAGTCAGCTTCCTCTGTTTCCATGTCTGGGGAAGAAAACATGCATAAGGGTTGTGTTCATAGTAGACTGGGGAATACAAAAGAATATTTTCCAAATCTCTAAATGATCATAGTTCTCTCATCAGAAAAATCATTAAGGAACCAAGTAAGAAGGATGTATTTGAACTAATGACTAATATGCCTGATTTAGAAATTTTAAGAGCTTTATTTCTTTACCAGTTATTTCAGATGGTCATATCTTTACTGTCTGAAATATTCAGAATTGATTCTGAGAACCTTGGATTTTCTGCCATGCCTTTGCTGATTGTGCAGATTTGAAGGGGGAAAAAGCTATGCAAAATTTCTGTCTGTTAAACATTAGTTTAACTTTTTTTTAAATTAAATGTAATTGCAGATTATTTATCTTTGAAATAACTGTTGGGGTGTTTAAAACAGCATGATTTAAAAATGATTGTGGGAATACTATAAAACACACAAGTGCCATTTTGAGAATTCTGGCCAGCAAGGTGTCTTATCATATTAAATTTCCACTGATGCTGCGTACGGAATATATGAAAATGACCCTTCTCCAGCGTTCAAGGCAGAGGTGGTATTCAGCAAATTCTGACCAGTTCTGGAGAACCGGTAGCAGAAATTTTGAGTAGTTTGGAGAACTGGTAAATACCACCTCTGACTAGAGATTTTACAGTATCCTTCCCCTGCCACGCCCACCAAGCCACGCCCACAGAACTGGTAGTAAAACAATTTGAATCCTACCACTGGTTTGAGGGCAGGTCCAGGCAATGTATGCATTCTCAGAAACAATGCTTCTTTTGTTATTAATATCCTTATAGACACAATGTTAATATTAAATGCTTCCTTTGTTTAAAAGATGACAAACTAATTGTGGGAGTTTCTGGCCTGGAAAAAACAAATTTTCTCTTAGTAAAAATGTGTTTTCTGAAAATCATGTTATGTCTAAAGAACATATGCTGCTTTTTTCAATCTTTTCCTTAAGCTAAAATTGCTCTCTCTGCTTTCGGCATCATAGTCAATATGGGATAAAAAGAATAGAATAATAATTAATATAGAATAAAAAGGGTTGATAGGATTATTGCAGATTAATGAAATGATGGTTTAAAATTGGGCCAGCAATTGGGCCTCATCCTGTACGTCAGTGGTGGGGTTCAATTTTTTTTACTACCGGTTCTTGGGTGTGGCTTGGTGGGTGTAGCTTGGTGGGCATGGCAGGAGAAGGATACTGTAAAATCTCCATTCCCACCCCACTCCAGGGGAAGGATACTGTAAAATCCCCATTCCCTCCCCACTAACCTGCTTTCCAGCTCTGTTCTCCTGTGCAGGGCAACAAAAGAAGACCCAGCCGATCAGCTGGGACTCGGGAGGCAGAGAATAGATGGGGGTGGGGCCAGTCAGAGGTGGCATTTGCCAGTTCTCTGAACTACTCAAAATTTGCGCTATCGGTTCTCCAGAACTGATCAGAATCTGCTGAATACCACCTCTGGTGTAGGTGGCAAAATTATCATCATTAAATACAATTTGCAATGCATAATCACAGCTAAATCCAGACTGCCACTACATATTGAGCTTCCTGAAAATTAGGGCTGTTGAAATGAACATCCACATGCTTTTCTCATACATGTGGACTGCAACACTGGGCCATAATGTGCTGGCTACTGTTGTTCAGTAAGTATTGGGTTTCCTAAGCAAAAAATATAAAATGCTCCCTTTTGGAGCTTTTTAATCCTATGCAACAGATGCGTTATTATTCAAACCACATAGTGTGTTGCATTGAATGTCCCTAATCTTAGTTTTGAACTGCCTATTCTCAAAACTGTGTGGGAGATGTAATTTTGTCCTGATGCAAAGAAGTGTGAACAGCTTTGCTAATACTTCCCAATGGAGCTTTCTTCCACCTACTGTTTTCTGCTGTGCAGGTGCCCTGGAAAAGTCTTGTAGAGAATAACAGTTTCCTGTTCCAAACATATTTCCTGTTAAAGGATCATACATAGTGTTGCGCATGTGAAATCCTGCCTGAATCACTGCATCCACAAATCAGAACATTGCTGCCAACCTGAGCTTGATAGATCAGAGTTCTCTTGGTATTTTTCCCCCAATAAAGGATAGAGATGGTCAATACAATGAAAGTCTAGAATCTAAAGAACAAAAGAAGTAGATAAATGACACCCCTGCCCTAAAGAAAGTGGGACATCAAAAAGGAGACATTAAATGGAGTTGTATTTACTGAGATACTAGGAATCTAGAAAGTAGGAATGGCTACCATAACAACATCCCATTCAAACTTGGTTGCCTTTTTTTAAAAAATGAGCTGAAGGAAGGAGGCAACCACAAGACCAGATGGGAAAATGGGCAGCAGTAATTATGAATAAGAAGCAGTGAAGATTGGGGAATCCAGATGTATTCTGACTCATATGGCTAGTCTGTAACAAAATTTCCTAGACTATCACCAGGTTTCAAATGCTCTATTTGAGTAAATTTCAGACAAAGTCAAAGGAAAAGATAGGATGATGATGATGGCAAAACAGGATTCTGAACTCTATTTAACAGGATCAAATGACCAGAAGGACTTCCTGTTGAAGTGAAAGCTTTGAGCATCAGATGGAATAGCTGTTTAGCAAAAGACTGTAAAAACATAAAGAGAAGAATATCTTTTAAATTCAACAAGCTACAAGGTTTAGTGAAATGTGATAAGCACAGTGTCTTCATTAAATTGTTCCAATGGAACTGGCCTAAAGTTACTCCTGTGTGTTAAGGAATAACACATTAAGTATCTTTCAAGCTATGTTTTGTTTGCTTGTTTTTGAGGCTTCACATAGAATCACAGATGGATTTCTACATGAAATCTTAAAGAAAAATATTGATTTGATTTGTGTTTCTTCAAACAAGCCTTCATGTTTGATCAAGTTGGTCTTTATTTATGTTTGATAAATACTCCATGGCACCTGTCCCTACATATTTGGCCATGGGATTTCTGACTACAATATAGCAAATAAGTCGTAATTTGATGCATGTATGCTTACATGCACAAGTGAACAAAATCTATTTAAGTGGGATTACTTTTAGAGAATTTACAAAAGGGTACATTCAAAAATTGAATCAGATTCCTTGCAGAATTGCTAACATTTTAAATTCTGTTTTTATCTAACAACTTTGAATTCAGTTTTTATCTAGACCTTTATTTCAAAATATTTTTATTTATAAGTTTTTTTATTTAGTAAATTAATGTAGAAGCCCTATACACTAGGTTAATCTGTACAAGGGTTAAGTTACTAGTTTGCCAAGAAATATATTTCATAAAGTTGATAGAAATAATGCTACCTGTATTATATAATCAACAGACCTATTCGTAGCTGTCTTAGTTCTAGTAGTATCTGAAAGAGAAATAATCTGGAAATGATACATATATGAAAGAGGAAGACTTTGATCATATGAATAGGGGCACCATTTTGGTATTTTTTGACTTCCCTTTGTAAACATCTTTGCTTGCTTAGAATGCTGACAATGACTTTTATAACCTTTATAGAAAAGTTTTCACGATCACTTTAAAACAGATAACATTTAGTATTAAACATAAAAAAAAATCTGCCCCCAGTCCATTACTCTGCAATAATTTCCTTGGCCTGTGGAAATTCAAAGCCTGAATTGTTTTCATTCCTTTTGAAGAAGCACAAGGAGTCTGTCACTGTCTGCTGTTTTTACATACAGAAGTAAATGCCCATAAAATTATTCATGTATGGATACCTTCTAGTTAGTAAAAGGACATATAATTCACTGCTTTAGTTTTGCATTAAAATGGATACATTTAAAATAACAATTAAGCATCTAAATCTGTTTAATGCCTAGTCATTTGCTCACAGTAAGCATGATGACATGGATTCAAAAAAAATATTGGATGAGCAATCATATGCTATTAATGAATGTAGTTTAATTTTACTGTTGTCATTTTAAGTGTGTAATGTTTTGTACCCTTAGGTATGGCAGAAACTGCCTCATTCAATTTGAGGATTTTGCCAACCAAAATGCATTCCGTCTTCTGAATAAATATCGCAACTTATACTGCACTTTCAATGATGACATACAAGGTAATGAAATATTTCTAATCACTGTTTAACAGAGGACAATATGATTTAATAACTTAATATCTATAAAGACTGTGTGTCACATCCAGGCACCCATTACATCATATTTATTTTATTTTATTTATTTATTTATTTGATTTGCCAATTGTTTACAAGATAATAAGTATAAGTGTATACATAGTTGTGAATACATGAAATGGGTACATATAAGAAAAATAAAAGAATAAGAGAAACAATAGGACAGGGACGGTAGGCACGTTGGTGCGCTTATGCACGCCCCCTACAGACCTCTTAGGAAAGGGGTGAGGTCAATAGTAGACAGTCTAAGGTTAAAGTTTTTGGGGTTTGGGGAAGAAACTACAGAGTCGGGTAGAGTATTCCAGACATTGACCACTCTATTGCTGAAGTCGTATTTCCTGCAATCAAGTTTGGTGCGGTTAACTTTGAGTTTGTATCTATTGTGTGCTCTTGTGTTGTTATGGTTGAAGCTGAAGTATTCATTGACAGGTAGGACATTGCAATGTATGATTTTATATACCATGCTTAAGTCAGACCGAAGACGGCGTAATTCAAGGTTTTCTAGTTCTAGAATTTCAAGTCTGGTGGCATAAGGTATTCTACAACGAGTAGAGGAGTGGAGAACTCTTCTTGTGAAATATTTCTGGACTTTCTCAATTGTGCTAATATCAGATACGTAATGTGGGTTCCAGACTGATGAACTGTATTCGAGTATTGGTCTAGCAAATGTTTTGTATGCTCTGGTTAGTAGTGTGATATTACCAGAGAAAAAGCTACGTAGGATTAGGTTAACAACTCTTAATGCCTTTTTGGCTATGTAGTTGCAGTGGGCTCTAGCACTTAGATCATTAGAGGTGAGTATTCCAAGGTCCTTTACAGAGCTTGGGTCATCAACAAGATCTTGACTATTCAGCTTGTATTTTATTTTCTGATTTTTTTTGCCAATATGTAAGACAGAGCATTTATTTGTTGAGATTTGAAGTTGCCATTTGTTTGACCATTCTGATACATAGTCAAGATCTTTTTGTAGGGTAGCAGTATTGTCTGTGGTATTGAACAGCTTGTAGATCCACATAATGATAGGGGTAAAATGTACAAGCCCTTTGTGGATTTCCTGTGTTGGTCTTTGCTGTCCCTCTGTCACATTTTAGCTTTCTTGAGAAGGTTCTAAAGCTTCCCTGGCTTATTTGTCATGAGGCATCTATGGACTTCCAGCAAACCTCTCTTGGTAGTTGAATAGAGCTTTTATCTTTTACCAATTCTTGCATATGCATGCAAGAATTATTGACTGTCAATTCTGCTAATTCATTTTTTGGGGGGAGACCAAAGGTGATTTGATAAAATACCATATTATTAGACACATTTACCTACAAATTTTAAAATAGTGCAGACAATGGTATTTCCTGTGACATTCCATGAAAGCAAAAAGTGGACTTTGAAGAAGCAGGATAGGGAGAGTATCTTTTGAACATGGGTGTTGGAAAAGACCTCTGAGAAGATTTCATGGACAGCCAAGAAATAAAACCCATTGAACATATCAACCACTTGCGTTCCCACTTGAGGCACTAGGCTCAAATTATCCTATTTCAGACATATTGTAGGAAGCTCTAGCTTTCTGAAAAAGGCTCTAATGCTGGGAAAGGGAGGGGGGAGAGAAAAAAAATTGATGATCAGCAGCAAGATGGATAGATCCCAAAAGCAAGATGGTCTGAACCCAAAGGGCCAAATTAGAGATGGATTGTCAGTGGAGTAAATCTGTCCATGTCGTTGTTAAGAGGCAACCCTGATTTGAGGACATATAATTGTTACCATTGCTTAACATTTCCTAAATATATACATGAGGAATTTGTATTCTTAAACCTCATTTAAGTCCATCTCATTGAGAACCCCAAACTCTTCCAACTTTGCAATGCTGAAATTCTGCAGGAAAATGGTAATTTTCAGTGCATGGTATTTGATACTTTATGACAGCCTTTTCTTATGTTGGTTTAAATTTCTAATATGAAATAGCCTTGGCTTGTTCAGCAGCTTCATTCTTCAAATCTTCACTGATCTTAATACACTGTGTAACAAAATATTTTCTTTTATGGACAAATAATATCACATTTACCATTCCTATGTATAGTGAACTGTGTTCCTGGAGGGTATTATCTAAAGTATTGTCATAATATGCCTTTCATTTGGTGCAATTGAATAAGGGTGAGGAGATGAATGCTTACCGGTACTTAAAAAGGAGTAGTAACTTCACAATTTATCATTCAGACATGTGTCCTCCATTGTTTTTACAATAAGATATTGTATCATAGGAGAATTACTATTGTTTTCTGGGCTTAATTATTTCCTAATTATTATTTTTTCTATGTAGTTTTCCACTAGCTGAATTCATTAGCATTTTATATCTCTAGGTTTTTCTTCCTATTTCAATAGTTATCTAATAAATGTAAGGCAAATGCTACTCTTGGTGTACCTTTTTGAACCTTTTTCTGATTGTAGGGCTGGTGGGGTGAACTTGATCTAAAATGAGTCTTTAAGAGAAAGCATAACATACTTTATATTTCCTGTGCTAGACAGGGGATTGGACCTCGTGGTTTAAATTATCTTTTCAGACCTGGGCTTCTGTAGGATCCTTTTTCACATAGATGTATTAATGTAGCTTTACTGCAGATTTTTTGAGGGTTAAGGGGAGGAAATCTGGAATGAGTGCTTGTGTGTGTTTCAGCTTAACAATAGAAGATTTTAAAAAAAAACACCATCCAGGACAAATTCTGTTTTTAAAGTTCACCTAAAAGATGTGTGATTGCTTATCAATGGAGATGAGCTGTTATTTCAATGTTATTAAAAATATTTATTTTATTCTGTTTCAGGAACAGCATCTGTAGCTGTTGCTGGTCTCCTTGCTGCACTCCAGATTACTCAAAATAAACTATCTGATCATACAATACTCTTTCAGGGAGCTGGAGAGGTTTGTTTATTCTTTTTTTTTTTTTCATTTCTATGCTATTTTTCTGACCAAAGTGGTGTTTCTGTGCCATATTTCTAGTTTGGCCCAGTATTTATTTATTTGATTGGCTGCTTGCCTATTTATTGATCTTCTGCTACTTAGGGGCAGCAGTTAGTGGAAACCCCCTCCCCCCCCATTGTGGCTTAACTGTGTGGCTGTGGTGGTTCAAATTGACAAGATGCTGGCCAGAGCCTTGCAATGCAAATCCCACCCTGCCTGACATTACTGGGCAGGGAAATCGGATGGGGCTTACATGGTAAGATTCTGACTTGCTGGCTTTCGCTCCTGCGCCCTACTCCTCCTTTGTTGCTGCTGGTTGGGCAGATATATTTTTAGTAAGTCAGCTCAGCCAGATTGAATCCAGTGGCCTTTCACAGAATGAAGTCTGGGACTAGTCAGAATCTCGATAGAAATCTTATTTGAATTCCATGCAGACAAGAGGCAATATATAAATATGTTAAAATACAACAATGCCAGGGAGTCTAAGTGGTTGAAATGCATTTATAGCCATACCAGTGTAGGTCATTTGTTATTGAGACCACAATTAAATCCTCAGTGCATTTTTTTAAATAAAAAACTTTTTCAGTTTATTCCTCACATCCTGAGGAATTTGTACTAACAAGCTGAAATTTCAGTGTGTGCCCAGGAAAGAAAACCCTCTCTAGCCATGGAATCATATATTTATGCTTTTATGTTTGAGTGGCTTTGAGTTTTTATGTCAGGTAACTGAAGGATTTCTCTGTTACTTTGGAAGTCAAAATTGGCTATGTATGAAAGCCAGTTTGCTCTAGTGGTTAAGGCACCAGGCTAGAAAGCAAGAGATCCTGAGTTCAAGTCCTACCTTAGCCAGCTGGGTGACTTTTGGCCAATCACTCTCTCTAGACCCAACCCATTTCACAGGGTTGTTGTTTTGGGGGAAATAGGAGGAGGAAGATGTTGGATATGTTTGCTGCCTTGAATTATTTGTAAAAACAATAAAGATGGGATACAAATAAATAAATAAACCTCAATATAAGGTATACTATCTATATATCTGCTTCAGCAAAATATATCTGCATCAGCAGAAATATTCTGTCCCATTTCCTTTCCCCCCTTGTAATAATTTGGTTGCGAGTAAACTCTGTATAAGGGGTGAGAACAACAAACCATGTAGCATAATGGTTAAAGCAGGACCTGGGAGAACCGGGTTCAGTTCAAACATGAAGATTATCAGATTATATTTAGCTCAAGTTCATTCTCTGGGCCATTGTTGAGAAGCAAATGGAAAGCAGTATAGTGCTTTAAGCTCATAAAATGCAGGATGTAGATGCAGAAAGTAATTAGTAATGGGGACTTGCTTTCTTTGAACCTCATTGTTTATATGCAGATGTAGAAGTTTTGTCTGCTTAATGAATAAATAGGGAGCTCTTTCTTCATAATTTTGTGAAACTTGAGTCATGAGATGTTTTATGCATATTTTGAAATGGTCAGAGTCAAAATGAATCAAATGTACAAAAATAACTAACGCTTTGTGCCAGAAGATTTTTATTGAGGTTACACAATACAAAAAAACGTGTAATGTCAGCATTTGTAGATGTTCCAAGACCATATAAAATAGGTACAGATGTAAACTCAGAAATGATGCATTGTTTAGTCCCGTTATTTAAACAATCCCTTTCAATTTTGAAGTCAAAACTCAAAGTCTGATTATTCTAAAGTCATTTTTTCCCTAAGGTGAGCAAACAAGCATATTCATTCTGTTGCGAACTGCAAAGAATCAAAGTGGCCAACTCAAGTTTCCAGTCAAAGCACATTTCGAAGGGCATGATGACCAATTCTAATGTATCACGAAGTCATTTCATTTTTAAAACTTTGCACAGCCTGTGTTGTCCAAACTGAAGGGTGGTAGATTTGAAAGCCAAAGAGATGATGGATACAAATGTCTTAACCTTAACAGTTAGATGGCTTCTTTTGGCATCTTTTGTTGATCTCTGTGATCTGAAATGGGAAGGGGAAAAGGCTAAATGGGAGGCTATTATGCAGATTGTGTGTAAGTGCTGCCAGATAGATGGGTTATTCCTGTAGCTTATTTTGGTAATGCACTGTAAAAAAATTTAAAAATTAAAATGTCTGTGAATATTGTTATGTCTAATGGGTATGTGGTTTGCACAGAAATGAAAATATAGCAGAGTGGTGCATAAGCATTAAAAGGGGAAGTGATGTATATTTTATAAAAATAAATATATTTGCATATGTATAAATATGTATGTAGATGGGAAGAATTGAACTGATTTCTACTCTGTGTGTGTGAGAGAGGGGGGGGGGGGGGGGGGGGGGGGAGAGGGAGAGATGTTATACTCTATTATTTGTATACTAATTCTTCCTTTTCTCATCAGGCAGCAATGGGCATAGCCAATCTTATTATTATGGGCATGGAAAAGGAAGGGACACCTAAAAAAGACGCCATAAAAAAGATCTGGATGGTTGATTCAAAAGGATTAATTGTAAAGGTAATAGTATTTCCCTTTCTGTTACAAACACACATTGTGATTTAAACTTTTCTAGGTACATTGAATAATAATAACAGAAGCAGCGTACACTCAAAGGTAGTATATCTTTCCCTGTACACTTAAGCAAGTTACAATTGGATACTATCCCTAAGAATGACCCAATAATAATTATCCATTGGAATAATAGTATTGCCATTGAGAATGTGGTAAGTTTCTTTGAAAAACTAAGGAAGTATTTAAATTCTTATTGCAACTTCAGATTTAAGTATCTACTGTATACATATGCGTATAGATACATACATACGTGCATACACATCATGAATACCTTATGTTTGTAATGAACCTAAAATTGTTTATTAAAATAAGCAAAGAAATGCTGATGTAAAAGAAAATTTCCTGCTGATATTTTCCTTTACTATGCCAGACCTCTACATAAACTTCAGCTGTGTTGCCTCAAATAACTTTTATTGCATAGCAATAAGAGCAGAGACCATGTCTGCATGCTGTGGTTTATTATGATATCAGCAGTGGTTAGACATTCAGAGTTTCTCGGAGACCTGACAAGGCATTCTTACCGCCTTTCTTCCATATGCTAGACAGAGCTAAGACAAAACACATGTATATCTCAAATACTAAAATAATAAAGGGAGTTTAAAGCAATAATTTATTCATATTAGCATTTCCATCCTCAAAAGAAAATGTTACCTGATTTATTTATCTTTTCCTTTAAGGTAGGTTGTACTGGAAACAAAACATAACCTTAGAATTCCTCTTGGATTTCCATGCTTCTCTTTTAAAAAGTTCATATGATGAATAATGATTTATGTTACTGTTATTCGCATGAAAGTGTGTATCGCTCACTTGGGATTGCATAGCTGTTGGGTTGAGAAATATAAAACTTTGAATGGGATATTTTTCATGGGGCCTTATCAAATGGGAAGATTATTATATATTTGATTTCTATCAAAAAGATTTCCTTAATAACACTCTGGATAACTGAGATGTGCACAAGGATTTATTGTAATCACTATTACTCAGGCAAGATTACTGTAAGGAAAAGATTACTTACTGCAAGATCATTGTATCCAATACTGTGTCCATCTATTAGCACTTATAGTTCTAAGTTTGTTATTTTTTACCATTTCCTAGAGAGTTTGTGATTTAAATTGAGCAATGAAGAATATTAACTGCGAACAGAAGAGGAACATTTTAAGTGGATGTGCAAAGAAGGGCCATATGCTGTAGCTTGATATGAGTGACTAAACTAATTGGCAGGAATTCTGTAAGCAGCATACAAATCCCAGGAGTGGTTAGAATCTAGAACAAAGAAACAGGAAAGCAAATAAGGGGAGGGGAGTTGAAAGTTTAGAGGTGTCTAGTTTAGGGTTTAGTCTAAGAAGACAAGGTGGGAAAACATTGTCAAGTGACAGAGAAAAGGCACATCTGCTCTAATTCCTTTACCTCAATCCTTTGCCCTACGGAAAGCAGTATCAATCACAAGGGAAACAATCAAATGGTGAAAGGAGGAAGTCCTAGTTAAAGGGAGGACAAATTACACCTAAAACACAATGGAATTTGCAAATGTAAGTTCAAAGTTTGTGCAGTCATTTTTCAAAGGTGGGCAAATGTCCTTCTCAGCTTCAAAGGAGACAGTAAACTAGATGCAATCACTGACAGGTCTTTTGTTGTCAGTATCTTCAAAGGCCCTAGAATCCTGCAAATTGGCAGTTCCCAACATTCCCACCAGGGACCGATTTTGTGGAAGACAATGTTCAGTGCCTAAATAAGGAAGAGAGAAAGTAGCTGAACAATAGCTAAATTCTGCCCTCCAAGTAAATCAAATATGAGTCAAGAAAAGTGACATATTGGAGGTTTTGTTGTTAGCCACATGTCAGAACTATGTAATCCCTTGTGGTCCCCCTGCCACTGATAATACATTGCCTTCTGTTCTATAAATAACAAGAGTTGTGGTTGCTGACCAGGAAGAAATGGAGAAAGAGAACAAATGCAATGATGTAATTTACACCATGGCAGAAACCTGGCATGTTGGTCTCTCTCTCTCTCTCTCTCTCTCCCTCTCTCTTTCCCTCTCCCTCTCCTTCTCCCTGAAATGTATGTAAGATATAATGGCATATTTCCTGGACTTTATATATTGGATCAGATAAAAGTTCTACCTCTCTGTTTCATTTGAGTCATGGTGACATTTCAGATCTTTTATGATTTTGGGTGCATCAAGAATTCAGTTTTATAGCTTATGTGACAAAATTGCTAGAGGCAGGAAACTCTCCCCCCCCTCCAGAATTACTTGGGATTAGGTATGCTTTTTGTGTGGAGGATAATTCTCCTCCTGTCAGTTGGGTCCTCCCACATATAACTGCAGCCATGGTTGAGGCAGATTCAGACAGTTTCCAGGCCTGAGGCGATGCATGCTGTCCTTGTGAGTCAAACAATCCTCTGCTGTCAGCTAAGGGAACTTGGACAGTGTCCAATCTCTAAGGGAAAATAAAAGATAGCCTGGCTATAAAGAGATCAGGGGAGAAATGGTTCTCTCAAAAGATTTTGCAAGCAGGGAGGTGGCATTTAATATTTTTCTCAGATGGAAAAATCTAAAATGGATAAATAGCGATTAGTTGTGTGGCCAAAGCTAGGGGCTAGGCGACATGTCTTCCGGGAGGGGATACTATGTACTCCTTAGAGCGCTTGTCTTCCAGATATTCTGGCCCAGCACGTTCTCCTCTGTTGGAGGTCTTTCTATCATGTCTCTACATTTTCATACCCTCTCAGCACACACACACACACACACACACACAGAGAGAGAGAGAGAGAGAGAGAGAGAGAGAGAGTGATGCTTGCAACTTATTTATGTTTTGTGACATCGTCACCAGCCTCAGAGGTGGTATTCAGCAGGTTCTGACCAGTTCTGGAGAACCAGTAGCAGAAATTTTGAGTAATTCAGAGAACTGGCAAATGCCACCTCTGACTGGCCCTACTCCCATCTATTCTCTGCCTCCTGAGTCCCAGCTGATCGGCAGAGGAGAACGGAGCTGGAAAGCAGGTTAGTGGGGTGGGGAGGGAATGGGGATTTTACAGTATTTTTCCCCTGGAGAGGGGTAGGAATGGAGATTTTCCTTCCCCTGCCATACCCACCAAGCCACGCCCATTAAGCCATGCCCACAGAACCGGTTGTCAAAATTTTGGAATCCCACCCATAAACCTAGTTGAATCCTATGAGGATGCATACTTTCTACATGTGTTTTGGTTAGAATAGTTTCTAAAATGCAGGTTGGGAAATTTTTAATAAAATTTCATCGAACAAACTTTGGAAAGTTTTCAGTGTCTCTTGAGTACAGAGTATCAGAAATGTAGAGGTCTATAATCCCTTCAAAATTTCTGACTATGCTTCTAAACATGATTTAAATGCTTGCTAAAATTATTTTGACTACAATAGATATTTAATGGATGCCATATGTTTTGCAGTTTACAGATTTATTGATGAAAAAATAAAAGGAACTCTAGTGCGTTTTTAAAAGAAGACTGAACCTTTTCATTAAAACACATAATGAATTTAAAACTGCATTTTTTAACTGGTTATTTTATTTTTTAACTTAGGGTCGTGTTTCATTAACACCTGAGAAAGAAGTGTTTGCTCACCAGCATGAGGAGATGAAAAATTTAGAAGATGTTGTTAACAAAATAAAACCAAGTGTTCTTATAGGTAATAAACGATCTATATATCAGTTCATCAAAGTTTGCTCTTTCATTTGATATCTATGTTTATCTATGTGTATATGTATGCACACATACATACATATGGATATGTGCACCCAGATACTGGATATGCATACAATTCAGAGAAATTGGTAAAAATATCATGATCTTTATGCATGAGAAACAAATACAGTAATTCTTACAGTTTTGGAAAATAGGCGAGGTTATAAAGATTTCTGAATTTACATTGCAAGTGACATGTGAATAACATATGACCTCAAATGTAATTGTATGTAATAAATAGCTTATTGGGAGATCAGGGAGTGGCCTAGAGGTGAAGAAGCTCACCTCACACTTGGGAGGTTGAGAATTCAATTCTAAGCAACAACAGATGTTTTTCTATGATCACAAAGAGAAAATATCTGCTGCAAACTCCGCAGAGGCATCAGGAAGGGGATCCAGCCTGTAAATGCTCAGCTCCATTCAGTTGTCCTGACTCTACCCTGATAAAAGGGATTACAGGGATGTAAAAAGGGGAAAGATTTGTTCTGTGATTTTGCTCCTTGAGTCAAATTAGAAAAGTCTCTAGTCTTTTTCTCTTTTTAAAATCACATGCAAATAGGCTAATACATACAATTTTGTGTAGACCCATTTCTATATTGAAAGATCAGATAAAGAATTTTGTATCCCATGCTATGTAATGCTCAGTATTAAATATAAAAAGATTATATTTTTCTGGATGTTGTAAGCAAGAAAAATTTAATCAAATGTCATATGATTAATTGTTTAAAATCTTTGCTTGAAGAGTTGGGAATAATTAAATTATCTAATGTTTCCCCAAGATTTTCATTAACTCCAATCTCAGCAACAGCCATTTATGATATATTACTAGACACTACTCAGGAAAAAGACTTGTTATTGTTGGAGCAAGAACAAATGTTATTTTAACAAATCTAGCCATAAAGCATCAGTTAGATTGTTTTCTAATTTATCTTGCTATGACTAGGAGTGATTGTCATTGTACCGTTTGCTTTTTAAAAACAAAATTCACATTAAGTAGTAAAAAAAAAAGACAATAACTTTTGGTAAGATCAGTTTAAAATTATGGGGAGCTTTGAACTTCAGTTTCTGTAAGAATTCTAAGTTGTCAGAGCAAGGAAAAAGAGAATAAAACAAGATTATATGTTCAAGCTGGTGATACTTTAACTAAGGCTACAAAGCTCTTTGGGTCTGTGGCATTTATTAAATTTATGGCGCCTTTATTTAATTTTTGTCAAAAGCAATGTCCTGATGTGAACTTTTTAAAAATTCTTTTTTCATTTTGTTTGAGCATTGATACAATTGTTCAATTAAGATTTTATGCAAAGAAACCAAGATTCTGATGAAATATGTTTGGCCTCCTACATATCTATTCATCCATCTCAATCTCTCTTCCTTTTACCTTTTCTTTTTCATTATATTAGGATAGATATATGCAAATTTTTCATAAATTGATTTAAGAAACCTTAAAACATATTTTGAAAAATGAAGTCCAAATTTCAGAACACCTTATTATTTTATAACAACAAACCAGATATCATATTCAACAACACATTAACAACACATTAAATAATTGGACTCAGGAGGCAGCTTCAACAGATAAGACTAAAGAGATTGTTCCTGGAGAGTAAGAGATTGGATAATTGTTTAGTTAAAAGTTGTCATTTGCTTCTTCTCTAAATCATGTTTCTTATGTAAACATATTAAAAATATATTTATAAAGCAGATTAATAAAAAGACCTCTATGTGCATTGGGAAATGTTTCTTCAAGATAATTCCAAAAGGTAAAAATGTAGGTCAAAGAAAAGTATCAAAGTATCAGCATGGTTATAGAATAGCAATCTCTTCAGATATTTGCAATTTGATCTCAAGTTTGTCTTTTATTTCCATTAAAAAAGAAGATAAAAATGCTGGATGTCTTTAAAAAACACACCAGCTATTGAGATTAAACAGTGATGTTATCTGGATTGTTCATGTAATCTTCATAATAAAACAAGTGCATAGCTGATTAAAATCTTGTCTGAAAATGGCCAAAATTGTAACCGTTTCCGATTCTGAAGTTTGTTCTCAACATGATCCATTAGAAATTTTCCTTCCATCAGTTTACTTGAAACGATAGATACAGCACAAAGTAGCTTAAGAGCCAACATTCCAGTGAAAATACTTCCAATATGTCAGGAATATTTCAGAATACTTTATTCATGAGAGAAAAAAAATGTGTTTTTTGTTGGGGGAAAAAATCCCCCCCTTCTTTGTAAGAACCTATACTTCTCAGTGGAGGATTTTATTACTATATTCAGTGAAACATCTTAGTGAAAATAAAGAAATACATTTAGCTTGATTTATGGAACTTGCCTTTCATTAAAGGGCTATGATGTTCGTTCAAGAATAAACCGACATACTATTTTAGATTTTATACTTTCACAAAAACATTTCCAGGTACAGAAAACATAGTGGTGTTAAAAATGCTTAGATCAAAGTTGCCTCATTCACTTTTAACAGCTAGTAATTCTTGGAGTTTAAGTCCACGTATCCTAAAGTTGCTAACATTGAGAAACTGCACTATGGCAATGCTTAACCTATATTATTAATTTCTGGCCTCCTTTGACACTAGTGGTAAACATATTGTGGTGATGGTGAAGATGGTAATGATGTTATATGTAGTGAATGTAACTAATTTAAAATGGAACTTGTTTGTCTTGTCATTTTTAATCTTTTTCATTTTTAAAAAATGAAGCAGAAATATAATTAAATGAAATTGCTTTTCAATACATCTGCAGAATATTTTTTTAGAGCAGGAGTGTCAAACTCAAACCCCAGGCCGGATCTGGGTGGCGGGTTGCTTAGATCTGGCCTGCAGGGCCACTGTGGAAACAGTGAAGGACCAGCCCATGGAGCTTCTGGCAGCAAAAATGGAGCCTGGGTCTGCCTGGGCTCTGTTTTCGCTGGCAGAGAGCTGGAGCAGGCTGTCACAACCAAAAATGGAGCCTCAACAAGTGATGTCAAGCTAGCCACGGCTAACCCCCCCCCCCCCCCCGAGGTCCAACACAATCCTGATGCGGCCCTCAATGAAATTGAGTTTGACACCCCTGTTTTAGAGTGGTGGATAAATATTGTACATTTTGTAATATTCTGTTATATCTCTGTCTGACATAGGAGTTGCTGCAATTGCTGGTGCATTTACAACAAATATTATCAAGAATATGGCTTCTTTCAACAAACGCCCAATAATTTTTGCACTCAGTAACCCAACTAGCAAAGCAGAATGCTCTGCTGAAGATTGCTACTACCTAACCGAGGTATTGGGGTGGGGTGGGGAAGAATTATATTTAAATTGATCATACTTTTTGTTGCCACATTATTAGTGTATATATTCATACAATTGTCTCTCTATGTGTATTTATTTTGGCAGTTTTCAGACTTATTTGTGGGTGTTTTTAGCAGTATTTCTCCATAATTTTAGATTAAAAGGAAATCCAAATTGAGCTAGTCTTTCAGTAAAATTACATGGCAACATTTCAATTAATAGAGGATTTCATGTATATTCAGGAACTACCGGCAGTAGAATATATTTCTTCCCTCATATCTGTCACTGGAGGGAGAAATAAAAAGTTGCAACCATTTTAATCATACAGAGACACACTTAAGTTGCACTCTGGCATGCTGCAAAGCTACTCAAAATTGCTCTACCACAACAATTGCCTTTCACTGTAAAGTTTCGAGTTCAGATTTGTAACATAAAGATTGCTGGTATGTAAAATAAGAGGAAGTAATTAGTGACATTTTACTAGGGATTCAGAAAGCATTTTGGTGTTCAGAATGCATTTGCCTGTGCAGGGAAGGAAACACAAATGTTTGAACAGAATGAGATGTGCCTCACTCGGAAACTGATGACAACTAGGAGGAGGAGAGAGAAATTACTGGAGAGGTGTCAGCTGGGGGAGTGGGCTGGGCTGGTAGAATATGTGATGTTAGAGGATTGTGAGAGCAGGGGCTTGGGGGAAGATCAGGAGTGGGAGGACTTCTAGAACATTCTCAGTGACTGAGAGGAGACATGGAGTGACTGTACCGAGAAGATGGGGGTTAGGTAGCCAGATCTATGTAGCTACCATGCTACTTTGGGACATTGGTGGTGGCTGAGGGGAGGGATGATACTGGAAATATGGAGATAGTGATCGTAAGTTGAGGATTAGCTATATATGTATAAATACATAAAAATGTAGCATGTCCTTTTTGCTTACTGAAAAGTAAGCATAAGATGCAATATAGCAATGGAGGAGTAATACAAATATTTTTTTAAAGCAGATGGAATATGGTTCCTTCTGGTGACCAGAAGACCTAAAGATGCATCAAAATTATTACTCTTCCATTAAAACATGGAAAAACAAGCTTTTATTGAGCAAGTCTCCTTTTAAAAAAAATAAAGATGACAATTTTATGCTCATTCACATAGAAATAATTGATCTCAGTGGAATTACTCAATAAACCTATATTATAAACTGTATTATAAAATTTAAGTTAAGATTCTGGACTTGTTCCAGGATGAGCAGTATCACATTCACCAAATGAAACGTTCACTTGTTCTTCTCAGGTAACTGTGTAGCAAATTACTCAAATAGATTTTCTGGACTTGTGTTTCATTTTTGCACCATTTGTAATAATAGTTATTAACAAGAACAGCTTTAGAAAAGGTGTAAGGGCATCGTCTCAAACTGAGATGACAAGATTCAAAAGAGTTGTGTAGAAGATAGGATTTCACCAGAAGCTTGTCATGTAGACTTTCTATGATAAAGAGACATTCAACATGCATAGACAGAATGATCACAACATTCAGCCACAGGTAACTGTGGATGAAGAGAACTTGGAAAAGTTCTCCCAGATGTTTTTTTAAGAAGAAAGAATTAAAAACCACGAAACATGGAAAACTCATTCTTGCTATCTACAGTTAGACAGATGTGGACATTATAGTACAATTATAGAAAGGTGTAGAAATTTGCCAAGGTATCCTGAAGAAACCACATAGCTGCTATAGTATAACAGTATAACATCAAATAAAAGGTCTTTTGCTCTTCCTGTAGTTTCTAATACAATCACTTTATAAAAGCACTGTTATCTAACAAACATTTCAATGTACGTCCATCTTTTCCCATCAAATAATGCTTTACAATATTATTTTTGTTTTTATTCAGGGACGAGGCATTTTTGCAAGTGGAAGCCCTTTTAATCCAGTCACTCTTCGAGACGGACGCATGTTTTATCCTGGACAGGGGAACAATGCCTACGTATTTCCTGGAATTGCCCTAGGCGTTGTTTCATGTGGAATGAGAAACATAAGTGATGATATTTTTCTCCTTACTGCAGAGGTATTAATTATTATATATGAGTTATGACAGTTGAAAAAAAGCTTTGCAATTAAAGCTGCAGTGTCCCCATTAAGTGCTTCACAACTGGCATGCATTGGCAACTGTCACAGTGTCCTGTGATCATGTGATCACCATTTGTGAGCTTCACAACTGGTTTCCAACAAGTAGAATTAATGGAGAAAGCAAAAGTGAAATTGCAAGTTGCAGTCACACATGATCTTGTTCATTTACAACAATATGGTATAAAATGCAGTCCAATTGCAACAGATTTCCTAGTAGAAAACATAGTTTCTGGCAAACACGTATTATAAAAAAAAATTCTGGTTTCTTCCTTGCCCGTAGTTCTTTCTTTCTCTAATGTATTGATTAATATCACTATAAAATCATAGAGATTGCATCTTTAAAATAAGTGTGAAAAGTGGGTCTTAGTTTTGCTTGTTCTTATTTGTAATTAAGAAATGCGAATACATTTATTTCTTGATTAGGTTGTTGTAGAGATTTCTGTGGGGATGTTTGGACAGGGACTATGGAAAATCTGAACAAAAATCTAGGGTTCCTATATATTGTATAGAATTATAAAGGTAAAAGTTTCCCCTTGTCAGTCATATCTGACTTTAGGGGGCAATGCTTATCTCTGTTTCTCAGCCAAGGGAGCCAGCATTGTCCAAAGATACTTTCATGGTCATGTGGTCAGCATGACTGTATGCTGAGGTACACTGAATGCAGTTAACTTCCCACCAAAGTGGTACCTATTCATCTACTCACATGAACTGGTAGGTTGGGCAGAAGCTGGGGCAAGTAACAGGTGCTCATCCCGTCACAGTGCTTGGGTCTCGAATCCAGGCTGTCAACTTTCAAGTCAACAATCTCAGTGACTTTAACCATTGAGCTGTCATGCCCCTTGTATAGAATTACAAGTCTTATAAATTGTTAAAGCTCTCCAGTTAAAGTTGATAAAAGAAACAGTCTAGTCATTGTAAGCAATGTGTCTTGTTTTCAGGTGTTCTTATTTTCATGCCATATAAAGTAGAGTTTGGAAGTGAGACACTTAAGTCCAGAAGGCTATAATGCCTAATTATAGGCAGTTTTACTGTGATGACAAGCATAAATCTGTGTTCACCAAAGTGCTTGGCCACTTTAACCTAATGAAATATTATTGTAACTCTGCCTAAATTGCAAAGCCTCCTGCTTTAAAAGAACTTGAATCTAAACAAAAGTTATTCAGCTACATCCAAGATAAAGTCTGTGCTGCTTTTTCTTAACAACTTCAGCTCCCCCTTGTGGATTCCAAAATATAAAAATGTTATTTTTGATAACATTTATTCAACAACTTTCCGGCTTTTAGATTAAAAAAAGAGATAATAATTATTTGGCACCGTAAGAGAAAATAACATTTTACAGGCTAGTACATGGCATACCCTGCCATATATAAAAATGTTCTGGAAGTTGTAGAACACAGCTTACGAGATCTGCAAATGGGCATTGCACACTGCACAGAGGCATAACAGACATAACAGATAATCAAGAGTTGGAAGGGACCTTGTAGGTCATCTAGTCCAACCCCCCACCCAAGCAGGAGACCCTACACCATTTCTGGCAAATGGCAGTCCAATCTCTTCTTGAAAGTCTCAAGTGATGGCGCTCCCACAACTTCCAAGGGCAAAGCTGTTCCACTGGTTGATTGTTCTGACTGTCAGAAAGTTTCACCTTATTCCCAGGTTAAATCTCTCCTTGTTCAGTTTCCATCCATTATTCCTTGTCTGGCCTATAGGCGCTTTAGAAAATAGCTTGACCCCTTCCCCCCTGTGGCAGCCTCTCAAATATTGGAAGACTGCTATCATGCCTCCCCTGGTCCTTCTCTTTACTAGACTAGCCAAGCCCAGTTCCTGCAACCGTTCGTTGTATGTTTTAGCCTCCAGTCCCCTAATCATCTAGCATACGAGGACAAATTATGCATTGGAAAGATTGCTTGGAGATGGGAGATATTTCCAGTGTAATCTACTGGATTTCCTGCATGGATTGCCTCTGTGACTATGTAGGACAGATAAGGAGAAAGCTAACCACCAGATTGCAAGAACACAAATGAGTGGTCAGACGAGGAGACACAAACTCATTGGTAGCCTCACACTGCAATGCACGAGGACATACTGTACATTCCATTTTGCAGCTACTAAGATTGTTGGACAAGCAGGCACAAAAACAGTCAGGGAAGTGACTGAAGTTTAGAAAATAGGCCTCTCCTCAGTCAACAGGAGTGCTGATTTACCACCAGCTTATCAAATACTTAGGAGACAAGGGCTTGGCAGTTACAAGCAAACAACAGCCAATGACTTACTAGCTGGCCATCAACACCCCAGTCAACATCTAAAAAGCCAGATACAATAGGCACTATATAAATACCGCACAGACTAACCTAACTTCTTAAAGTCCACACTTCTTAAAGTGGCCAACCTTGGAGACCCCCCCTCAAGCTAAACTGATAAAACAATAACCTAGAAGAGGGCAATGGCAAATCACTTCTGTATTATGCCAAGAATATTGCAGGGACATGAAGTTAAAGCCACCAGGAATCAAGTTCAAATTGGAGACTTTGTTTTCAAAGTCAAGGATGTCTTCTTTTTAAAAAAATCCTTTTCTACATTCCTGAAATTATTTGTTAGGTCTGACAATTAAATGCAGCTGATAAAAAGAAAGAGGGATTTTTAAGGTGCAAAGAGAGCTAAAATTGCATTAATTCTGCTCTAGTCTACATTGAATTCTGGACTTCTTTCATATGTACAGTGTATAACTGTATGAAAGGAAAAAAGAATAAAACTCTTTAAGATGAACTTTGAATAATTGGTCTCCAAAGTCATTTCCATGATGTATGCTAGTATATTCTGGGTGTTGGTAGCAAACAATTGTAAAAGCAGTTGTAAAATTATAATGTAATGTAATAACTAGCTTGATACCCATGCTTCACTATGAAACTATGTGGTCGGGCTTAGATTTTGGGGAGAAAAATAAGGATTTTTTTTTTTTTTGCCTCTGCCTACCTGCATCCATCGATATTCATTTGGCTAGCATCCTGTCAGTGTGTGTGAGAGTTGAGGGCTGTTTGGAAACTGAAAGAGTATTTGCTGTGTGAGCAAGGAGACAGCAAGGAGCCTGGGCATGGCTTAGCTCAACTGTACTAAAGCTGTGTGTGACAGAGTGGTGCTGTGAAACTAAAACTGAAACTCCTCTCCTCTGCTGGTGTTTTGTATTTGGAACAGATTTATTTTCAGGTGGGAAGGGGCAGTAGAACTCCTTAGCATCAGAGCGTATTAATAATATACAAAATACTAATGCTCTGATGGTCATTTCAAAAAATCCTTTCTTAGTGAGCACCTAGAAGCCAAGAGGAACAAACATGCCAAATTTCAAGTTTGTAGGCGTTACAGTTCTGGAGATTTTGTGATGATGCGTGAGTGGTATTTTGCTTTTATATATATAGAAGAAGAAGTTATAATATATAGTATACGATATAGTATAGTTAATAGTTCTGATCCTATAATATATATATATATAGGATCAGAGCATTGGATCAGAAAAAAGTAGGCAAACCAATAGGTATCAGAGATGAAGATATTGTCCTTTAAAACTCCCATCAATGTGATTCCTGATTTTTTTTTTAATTTAAGGTAAGTTTTTTCTTCTTTAAACAAAGTTATTAGCAATACATGCATCTTATATATATATATATACTTTTTCTTCCTAGGTTATATGCCAACAGGTATCAAAGAAGCATTTAGATGAGGGCCGTTTATATCCACCTTTAGTTGCAATTCGAGACGTCTCTCTTAAAATTGCTGTGAAAGTAAGTTCATTCTTCACTGACTAATCATATCATGTGTCAGCCCTTCAAGATAAGGTTATTAATCCTAGTGTTACTTTCATTATAAGGTTATGGTAACAGAATCTTGCAGGTATGACTTCCCTCTCTCTGCTTTTATGTTCAAGAATACCAGGGAGGGTCAAGTATGAGGTGCTTTCTCAAATTACATTCCCGCTTTGGACTCTTAATTTTTCTTATCTGGTCTTGTCTTGAGGGTGACTCTTCTTTTTGTTCCTCACGGTTATTCTCATAGTCCATTACTCTGCGATTCAAAAAGAAGCCGTTAGAATTTTTTTCTGTTTCAGTGACAAAATGTATACAATAAATAATTTTAATCAAATAATTGTAGCACAAAATTATAGCAAACCAAACCTACATTGTACCATTGTTTGACCCAGTCCCTGTTGAAACTACTTTGATGTGAATCCATTCTCTTCTGCAGCTTTTTAAGATTAATCTAAATCTGGTTTCTAACATCCACTTTGGAAAAAGTGGATGTTAGCCTTGTCCCTCTTCTTCTCCTTTTCCTTCCTTTGAGGATCTCTGGTAGGATATATATTCTCCACAGCCCTTTTTTCCTTAGAAACAACTTCCATGATTGTCGATGAGTTCAACTGACTTTCCCTAGTCAACACTTTCTAACATCAGTATTACAAAGGCATGCAAGTTTTATCCAGCAAGACAAATAACAGTGAAAGGGTCAGTGAAATGCAATACAGATCTAATTCAGTTGGAACATAAACAAATGGAGATTCAGTCACAAATCTTTGGCTTCTGGTATAGTTTGACTAACTTTTTCACTCCTTGGGCCTTATTCATTTTTCATTTTCTACAAGCCTGCCAATTCTTTTATTCGTGCTTTGTTGTTAATCAGTAAGGAATTGCTTCTCTTGGGGCACATCTGGTAATAATTTTAAAGCTGGTTGTCATATTTAATCCTCATCAACTTGATAATGCAGACATTTTCAATATTTAAAGCTAATTCAATTGTCAAAGAATTTGTTTGAAATCTGCATTTTTTTTGTGTAGTAAAACTTTCGTTTACTATATTTTTAAGCAGTGAGAAAAATGGTACAGTTCAATATATTTGTTCTTCTTCCAAAAATTTATATCTGTATTTAGTTATTGTGAACAAAACAACAACAAAAAATACAATTTGGTTATTTGAGTCTGCAGGTTTGATAGGGTCAAAGTTTTCTCTAAGGGAGTTTTATTTATCAGATCTCTTTAAATCCATGTAAATGAAATACATTGAATTTCTAAGATTTTCAAGAATAATTTTGCAAATGCATTCTGTCCTGTCAATCCTAAGGCAGTGTTTTATTGGGCTTAGAATGCAAGTGGAGATTTCCAAAGGCTTTGACTCTGTATGTAAACATAACACAAGTAGTCCTAAAGGTGCTTTTTCAAGAGGCTACTGGCCTTTCTGGGTTTTCTTTGAAGACATTTCACTTCTCATTCAAGAAGTTTCTTGAGCTCTTGAGCTGAAAAAGCTTCTTGGGTAAGAAACGAAATGTCTTCAAAGAAAAACCAGAAAGGCCAGTAGCCTCTTGAAAAAAGCACCTTTGGGACAACCATGACCGGGATGACCAAAAATCTCCATAGCCATAATACAAGTAGCCTCATTTAGTGACTGTTTCATTTAGCACGTTAGACTGAAAAATAACTTTATGGCCATATTCACATTTATGGCCTTTTCAGGTTTGTAAAGCAAAGGAAAGCTGATAATAACAACAGTCACAATTTCAATAGGAACCTTTGCTTAATGATTGCTGGACCCAGTTGTGGTTACTTAATGAGGACTATCTGTTCTTTATGTGAATTGCATTGACATATTATTTGGAATATTAACTGTAAGGTTACAATAATTTACATGCACCGAATGCAGTGAAGTTTTTACACTGTAAGATCACTTAAACAGCAGTCCTGTAAATATTGTTTGGGCATTAGAATGGCAACAGTATCTGAGAAAGTTGGGATGGCAGGATTAAGTACACTGCCAATTATTACATATTTATTTCATAAAGAGCTGGATGTGCTTGGTGAGTTGGCCCTTTATTGCAATGAATCTGAGATGCCGCCCTAACTTGACTACTTTAATATGAAATGCTCCCATCTGAATGAAAGGTGATTTTTTCAAAAACAACTGGAATATGTTTTTTTTTTAAACAAAGAAATGCTTTTTCCTTGAAGATGTTTTGCTTCATCAGTTCTGGCAGGATAGGGGGGGGGTAGGGATGGAAGGATTAGTTCTGGCTGGCTGGAGGGGCATGGAAGGATCATATTTCTTTGCAGTCATCTGGTCATTAGCACTCAGAGTCGTTGAGGCCACTTGGGGGTTTATTTGTACCCTCAGGGTCACCTGAGTCTGAGTGCAACTGGGTGTGAAATCTTCTTGGAATTACTGAAAGTTTTCACTCCCAGTTGAAAAACATTCACATTTAGTAATGAAACTGAAGTGGATTAACAGATTACGACTGCTATGGCTTGCAACACTTCCTTTCAAAGGGTATGATGCCTAGGAATGTCTTCCCTTGGACACCACACAGATTTATTGCTGGCTGTATGGTGGAAATCTGATACCTGGAATTTTCCTCATTGAGTATCATATGAATTCTAACAATGAGGGATTTGTCTTGTTCTCCTAGATTGCAGAGCAAGCCTACAAAAACAAGACAGCAACTTTCTACCCTGAACCAGAAGACAAGGAAGCATTCATCCGCTCCCAGATGTACAACACTGACTATGAAAGCTTTCTGACAGACTCTTATATTTGGCCCGAAAAAGCGATGAAAATACAGACAAGAAAAGTTTAATCAAAGAACGCAACACCTTTAGCAATGGAGCTAAAAAGAAACGGGTTGATTTCCATCTTTTGTTAACTCAGAACTTTTAGCAGCAGTGTATTTTAAATCTGTGGGTTTGGGGTTACAAATGTTAATGTTTTTCGCTTTAAGCTACAATCTAAACATGTAAGCAAATGAAAATAATTTGGATATAATAATTTCCTTGTTCTTTGGAAGAGCATTTCCTAGATTCCTGCTAGGCAACACTTACTGCAGAAGGATCGTTCAGTAAAAGGTAGTCTTATTTAAGTATCTGTATAAAATGGTGGTTCTGTTAACTGGTTTTGCCATTAAATTCAGATGAAATAATATTAATATAAAACATGTATCAGTAGAATTACTTCAAGCATAATTGGGGATGTTTAATTTAACAAGGCTACTTTAATTTCTCCCTTCATTTGCCAACTTGTCGGTTAGCGTACCTTTGTGGAAGATTTTCACACAGGTTTAATGATGTTCTCTCAATTCAAAAAGACTAATCTATGCTTGCTTGATCTATGGCTGTAGTTTGTAGATCAGTGAGAAGTGTCATTTGGTGAACCTTTTCTGCCACTGATAACTTTTGCATTGCGATTCTCCCTCTCCCAAATTTTCAATGGAATTCGAAAGTTTAAAAAACTTGACCATGAAACAATCCTATTGGCCGTTTTACAGTTTGCTGCTGAATGGTGATGATGCCATTTAAGGCTTTATATTAACAGACATTCTCTTCCCATCCTAGTACATTTTAAGGAAATTCCTAGCAATTCTTTCCTGCCTTAGCTCTGCTCAGTGTGAAGGATTTAGATTCAAGTTCCTGGTGTCGATCTCCCTTTTAAAAACTCTTTATCAGGCTACTCGTCTCAGAAGGCATGTTTTAATGTTTCTATGAGTCACAGCTGAAGCAGAATTAAATGGAAAATGTTAAAAAAAAGGGGGGAGATGGGAATACCAGAGATTTTGGAATTGAAGACCCTGTGAGTCTCAAACTCACTGCTGGAGATTTTGTTCTGTTGTAGTGACCCAATACTACTTGCAAACCCCAGCAGGTACATCTGCAGTAGAATTGGTTTCTTCTCAAAATGCTGAAGTGACTTTGTCATAATGCACAACATAGGAATGGGGTGTTAATATACTTGTTAGAGTTGTGCTACTTCTTTAAAAGATGTCTGGAAGTTCAGTGAGGGCAACTGGGCTTTTCTTTTTTTTTGGGGGGGGGGGGGGGGTCAGAAATGTTTCGCAGTTTATCCAAGCAATTTCTTTAGTCTACTGTACTCTACTCGAATAAGCAGTGAAATGACTCAACTTCTAGGCAAGCCTGAGAGATCTTCTTTAACATACTTTAAAAGATGAGCTTAGCAACAGATAGAGGCTTTGTTAGAATAAGTTGGGTTGTCTGCTTACAAAGATATGGATTCATCTGGAAGCAGTTTATAAGTATCTATACAAGCCCAAATAATTGATATGATGGCTGCTTTATGGATTTGAAGACAAGTGCATATTACATGTTGCAAAGCATTTTTTTCAAAAGAATTTTTCAGCCCTACCACTTATTTTTTTATGCTCTGTGTCATGTTCTGATCTCCAGAGATGTAGGCATTTTGAAATGTATAAAGACTGGATTTTATTTTAACTATATCATATATTTTAATCACACCAATCCTCCCTCTTGATTTCATACAAATATAACCCAGAACTGTCCTCCTAGCACATTTGCTCTTGATTGAAGATTTCAAAACCTTGTCAAGAACCAGAGAGGGAATAAACTTGTGCTAAGTGTCAGGACTTTTTCCTTCAATGCCGAACAAGATCTGAAATATGTGTTCACTTTGATGAACCTTAAGAAATTCTAGGAATTGACCAAGGTCCATGTGATAATCATTCCTTAATCCATAATCACCATGAGCTTGAAACTGTAAATCTTCAAAGGTCTGAAAGAGGCGAAAATTTTCTCCATTTCCTTCTACTTCTCCAGTCTCAAGATGCTTGCAGGAAATGTGTTTCCAATTGGGGTATCTAATAATATGCCAAAACTCTTCACAGTTCTCTTTTGTGCCCTCCACACAAATCACCCCAGGCTTCCCAGCTAGGCAGAAACCAGTCAGATTTAATTTCTTTGCATATTCAAAGATCTTTTTCCTCAGTTCTTGTCGGTATATATGATGGCTGTAAATCCACATGCGTTTAAATGGTGCTTTGACTATTTTTTTCCTTGTTGTTCTTTCACAAACTTCACTGTTTTGTACTCTGAATGTACTGTTATCCTGTAACCACCGAACAGCTGCACATATACAAAGTTCTCCGGGCTCCAAAGTAGAAATATAAGAGGTAAGGTCTTTATTGAGCTGCAACTGTTGTTGCCTGTCTAGTGTACTTGATCTCGCAAAAAGTTGTGGTGTCACATAGGGGTAATGGTGAGGCAATTCCACCTGCAAATCTACAATGGCCTAAAAAAAAGGAGGGGGGGAGACAAATAACATATTTTGTACTTAAGCAATTTTGGGGGGGAAACTACACCAAATATAGGAATCCAGTTACAATATATTTATGTAAGTTCTTTTTTTATTTCAGTAAAACCTAAAACCAATTCATTAAAAAAAAATATTCCCATCGTACAAATATTTTGCATATCCTATATGCCATAAACGATAATTTTTATTCATTTGCAATACAGTACAGGTTGTACAAGAATGAAAATATATCAGACAATTCTATATTCAGCCATCACTCAGTCTTTTCATGCATGTGCTTACACTATAGAGCTCTAAGTATGGCACTTACAAACTAAGATTACTGCATAACACACAGAGCTGATATAATGTACAAGTTCTTGAACCCCTGACACAGGTAGTCCTTGTTTAACGATGGCAACTGTGACTGGAATTGTTTCCATCACTAAACAATGCTGTCCATAAAGTGCGACCACATCCCTTAGCGTGGCAGTCCCTGCGGCCCCAGTTACTATGGTTAACTGAACTCAGGGTTATTAGTGGAGCAACATCCTGTTGGCTTCCCCACAACCAAAATTAGTGGGGAAGCTGACAGGAAGTTGCAAGTCCCATGCCTGCAGGCGGGTAACTTATTTCTGGATTAGGTAAAGTTCGTGCTTTTATAATCAGTGTGATAACATTACAAAGCTAGTTAGCAATAATATTAGAATAGAAGATACAGCTACCATATGGCTGTATTGTGACTCTTGATTGAATATAAAATTGGATATGAGTTTTCATTTACTTCACAAAAAAAGGAAGAAGTTTAAATAAACTCTCAGCAATCTAAACTTTTGGCACTTTGATCTGTCTTCCTGGCGGCAATTCCTCTTTTTCTACCAATTTTTCACCAGTTCCAGCTTTCTTTTCATTGCTGATTCTGTTTTTCTTTATAAATCAGATTATGTTACAAAATGATAAAAATCATTTTAGTTAATTGATGTGATATCCAAGCACACACATTATTAGCCCTTAACTTTAAAGGACACGATACAAGCCTTTAGCAATGCTGAAGCTTCTAATTCTAATGCTAAACGCTCTGTTCAGTGGAGTGACCTCTGATACAGTACAATTTCTTGGGTCTAGAATATATCATATATTCACAACTGCAATAAGTTCATCTTTACAGTATGTTTATTTCATTGCAAGATCATGGTTCTCCACTGCCTAGAGCAATAATTCACAGGGATACAATTTCAGGGAAAAAGACTCAATGACACTCACAGGTAGACTTTGGTTAACAATAGTAACTGGAACTAGGAACTCTTTTGCTAAGCAACACAGCCATAAAGTGCAACATCACTTGACCATGCTGATTTACAACAGCAGTTCCAGGTGTGGTCATTAAGCGAATCCCATAAGACAATTAAGTGCAATGTCATGTAATCACCAATTGTGACCTCATCGCCACTAACTTTGCTTATTAGAAGAGGCAGTGAAGGTCACAACTGATGGTCATGTGACTATGGAATGCTGTGACTTATAATTGCAAGATGGTTGCCAAGCACCCAAAATGTGATCATGTGACTGGGGAACACTGTGACAGCTGAGACTTCCAGCAGCAGTCCTAAGTCTCCTTGTTTGGTGCTATTAACTTTGAATGGGCCCTGTGATGGAATAGTAGTTAATCAAGGACGCCCTACTTACATAAGGCTGTAAAAGAAAAATGCTTGACTTTAAAAAGAGAAGATGAAAACTAACCTGGAGCAAGCAACTGTTTCATTTAATGCATTGTTGGAACTATCTTGAAATCAAAGCAAAATCAGATATGTTCAAGCAAAGACTGGATAATCAGGATGCCTTAACTGGGATTTCTGCATTGAATAGGCTGGACTTCATGCCTAAATGGCTCCCTTCATTTTATCTAGAGAAGCTGTTCTAGCTCAGGGGTCTCCAACCTTGGCCACTTTAAGACTCGTGGACTTCAACTCCCAGAATTCCTCAGCCAGCAAAGTCGAAGTCTACGAGTCTTAAAGTGGCCAAGGTTGGAGACCCCTGTTCTAGCTCATAGATCACAGATCAAGATTTAAAGTTGAAGGAGAAAAACAAACTTCAGAAATGGAACAAAATTCTTCAGTAAACATTCAGTTGTAGATGATGACTATCTTGGGGTCCCAGATACATAAGTTAAAAAAAAAAGATACCCAAAAAAAGTCTGTAAAAATATGTCCAGTGAAACAGCATTGTTAACTAAAAACAGCTTATAATCATTTATTTAATCTCTAAATGCAGTACTATAATGTAATCTACAGCTGAAAAAAACAACTAAGGCAAAATCCAACCAAAGATGCATTAGGCCTATTGGCTAAAATTAGTAATTTTACTGAGATTGATTCACAGATGTTTACTAAACTGAAGTACAAATGGAATTCCTCAATAATAATCAATGAAAACAGATGGCCTCACCTTGGTTTCATTTATAGGAACAGCAACTGAATACTCAATTTTAGGCAGGAGATTTTCAGTTGTATTGTTCAGGTACCTCTGAATATTCTCGAAAACATTTTCATCTTGAAGAGTTATTTCTCCTTTATTAGGAAACATAGACAAAAGCATTTCCAGTTCTGCCACTTGAAGCTCAAGACTGTCTTTTATGTTGCTAGACATCATGACAGATGCAACATCAGTCACCTAGAAAAAGGAGGTATCAAATCAGTTTTCTTGTTCTTGCCAGCATCATCTCCCCGCAAAAAGAGGTTGAAGAGCCTGATTTTTTTCTTCAACTGAAACATTTATTAGGGTGGAAGTTCATTCTCTGGGCTTGTGGATTGGTTTCTGAATGTTTCATTACCAGGTTAGGTAACAAAACATTTGGAAACCAACTCACAAGCTTGGAGAACAAATTTCCAACCTAATCCTATACCGGAGTTACAGATATTTGCCACTATCGCAAACATTTCTTTAATCTGTCTAAATTTAGGCATTAGTTGTAAGCAGTTAAAAGAGACTGTACAGAGTAAAACTAAGTCCCAGCACAGACATAATGTACCACATTATGAAAAAAAAACAAGAAATAAAACAATAAACAGAAAAACCCTTTAAAATTGTGGAAGCCAGGGTGTCATCTTGGCTGCTCAAGAGATCCAAAGAAAGAACGGCTGCTTGGAAGATACTAATCAAAGGGCAAAGGAAATGGATGCCAACCCTCAGATTGATAAAGGTAGTCCTCCATTAATGGCTATTAGTCCAGTAACCATTTGAAGTTATGATGGTATTGAACAAGTGGTGGTTACAATCAGTCCTTGAAGTTCTGACTGTCCCAGGACCCCTCCTGTCATGTGATCAAACTCTGGTACTTGGTACCCATGACTCTTGCAGTGTTCACAATCACTTGCTCTTCCTGGCTAACTTCTCACAACCAAAGTCAATGGGGAAGTTGGCATGGAAGGTTGTAAACAGCTCAGGTAAATCTCTCCCACTCATGCACCCTCTCCCTGGCAATAGTAGCCCCAAGCCCCACTGTGCTTGTGCCTCTCTTATCAATCGTGCTTGCTCTCCCATCCAGCAGCAGCCACTTCAAGTCCTGCCATCCTCTGGTGTACCGCCTCGGCCATCCGCACACTCC